AAAGATAACAAAGCACATGGGTTCAAATGGTGACCCTACGTCGCGTCGTTTCGGCCGGTCGCCAGCCGGCAACTCATCAGGGGTCTAGAACTGGGCCACTGTTTTTTCTGGAAAAAGCAAAGACGAAGCTTTGTGGACTAATAGTACATCCATGTGGCTCTTAATAAAGTATAAGATAAAAGGATCATGGGTTTAAACGTTGCTGCAGTCAGATGAATGCACCGATATTTGCGGGGAGGAAGGAGGGGGAGCAAGGGAAAAAATACAGACAGTTCCAGCAGATCATTCAAGCAGACCGTTCACCCGTAATTGCACTAACAAGAATGAGGACCGTGTTACAAGAGATGCTGTCTGGTGCTAGCTTGGCATGAAAGGTCCTTGTGGCCCTGGCCCCATTTGCATTCTGAGGAGCATCGGTCCGGTTCCTTTCCACGGGCAGGACACACATTTACAGTCCTTCCGTTTGGCCGAAGGATCCCTGAACAGTATTGATTACTCCTTGGAGGATTGACTGTCAGCTTGCCATACCCTTTCTCACCCCTCCCAGACTCTCTTCCGAGTCCGTGAGATATAGCTATCCATACAAGGGTGAGTTTGACAGGCTCCATAGCCAGGCTCGAAATCCTGCTCCACTTGTCCTTGAGCTGATCTGCCGCAGTCTGCGGAGGATCTCACGGGTGTCAACCGCTGGCAAGTAATTCCTTGCTGCAATGGTGCTGGGGTGGGTGGAATGTCACAACCAGTATGGCTTCAGTTTTGAACACTGGGTAATGCTTGCAGTGGTAATGACATCTGGCCGTTATTCCGTTTGGCTGTGGATCAATCAGGGCAGCACTGACGGAACTTACCAACAACATCTTATGTCCATATGGGATTCTGGGTTTCAGGCTTTTGACTATCTTTTCTGGCATAGGATGGATCCGAGTTGTGCCCGTCCTCCGGTCTGATATACATCCCTTGTATCAAAGCCACCTTGCCTTTCGCCAGCCATGTGCATTGGAACTTGGCCTTTTTTTTTTTTTTTTTTTTTTTTTTTTAGATTTAAACAGAATCTGGGGAGCGACAGTCCAGTTCATATTCCACTGGCAAGTCAAGAGATATAAGATTTAGACAACTCCAATGCTTCACCCGATTACGGTTGAGAGACCCAAGTTGGTGGCATTGATTTCCTCCAGAGGGAAGGATATACCACCCCTTACCCCTGCCCAAGTTAGCCTATTAAACCACAAGTACACGGCCCCAGCCTTGCAGTCCAAAACTTGTCGCCACAAGAAAACGAGGCCGAAATGTCAAAAGTTGGGCCCGCCGTTGATAAATTAGATCGGCAGTCACGGTTTCATTTCGCGCCTCCAGAATTTGAGGTGTCAGGCCCGCAGCCCAGGTGCCCATGTACTGGTGCTTTAAGATAGCTATTTCCTACATGCCCTGGACCTGGCTTCCTAAGGAGCCTTCGTTTATCTCTGATACTCAATCCGAAGCTATACTGACCGCCCAGGATGCCATCCCGCTATATTCGGAGCGTGGAACTTCGACGGATTCATGGTGACACATTATACATTCCAGCAGACCTGGACACTTGTTCCTTCATAGGACTGACATCAGCCCACTATCACATGGTATGCTAACATATGCTGCTAAGCTCCATGGATGTAACACATTGTAACTGTTTTGGCAATACTCTACAACTTTGGGTCGTGCTCCACTACTCCGCACTCTCCAGATTTGGAGAGTTTCCCGTCGCTACACGTCGAGCACACACATGTTGGAATATAAGTACACAATCCTGCCGCATGCGGTGAGAGACTATGCACTTGTATCCGAACATGTGCGGCTAGAGACTATGCACTTGTATTCGAACATGTGTGGCTAGAGACTATGCACTTGTATTCGAACATGTGTGGCTAGAGACTATGCTCTTGTATTCGAACATGTGCGTGCTATTGAATACAAGTACACAATCTCTCACCACATGCACTTGTATTCGTAACTCTCCAAATTGGCCTTAGAAATTCCCTTGAATAGCTGTCAGAGTGCACTCTTAAAAACCACCACAACACTGATATCATAGTACAGAATGTGAATCGACTCTATTTTTTTATTGGACTCTTCACATATAGTCTCTGAGGATCCTACACAGACATATGTTGGTCTCCTGCGGATTATCCATTGTATCTGTTTTTTTATTGGACTCTTCACATATAGTCTCTGAGGATCCTACACAGACATATGTTGGTTTCCTGTGGATTACCCGTTGTATATTGAAATTCATTCAAGGTTAGAGATTACTCCACTACACGTCGAGCACACACATGTTGGAATAGAAGTACACAGTCTCGCCGGATGCGGTGAGAGACTACGCACTTGTATTCCAACATGTGCGGCGAGAGACTATGCACTTGCATTCAAACATGTGCGTGCTTTTGAATACAAATACACAATTTCTCACCACATGCACTTGTATTCGTAACTCTCCAAATTGGCCTTGGAAATTCCCTTGGAT